GGAATTAATTTTCCATATGTTCACACTTGGCACTTGTATTAACTTATGTGTTCGAAAGTTCATATGGTGAGTGAAAGATTTTGTGTAGACTCCTTTTAGTTGAATTATGTCTGTATCTTTTGGTATTTGTATGTTGTATTCAATTTGAAATTATGTTTGCTGGCGACTAAAAGTGCCCTTCCCCTCCTCCTGAGGGGAAACGAGACACGCCCTAAAAGGCATCATGCAGCAAAGACTTTATTTCTTTTTTCTTTATAATACTTTGGCAGCACCATCATAAAATTTTACTCAGCATAATATCTTTTCAAAGATTTAAGGATTTTTTAAAAATAAATTTCAGGGAATGTTTCTGTCATCAGTTTTTTGTTTGACCTACACTACATTCTATTGCGCAGTTTGTCAATGCGTGTGTCTGTCAGATATTTGTCACAAGTATTTAGGAATCACATGGGCTCATACATCTTGATGAAAAGGGTTTTGCCATTCTTGTTTGAAATATTGTTTTTATTATTTGTAAAGGATAAACAGAATTATTGCAAGTTGGAAAAGTATCCAAATTGCTTCATATGTGAATGAGAGATAAACGCCCCCACCCCCAGTCCAATTTCTATATAAGCACCCAGAGTGCTTATTTGAGGAAATATGTTACTTTAAAAATTATAGATATACTATGTATATATCAAATTGCAGGGAGAAATTCAAACATTTTATTTTTTGATTCAGTCAGGAGTTAACTCCCTTTGACTGCAAAAAACAAAAATTGCTATTTTTCTTTTAGCAGAATGAAGATATGGAATAAAAAAATTTGCATTTGAAAATTTCTATCAATCAAAGATCGAGCATATGCTTGATACCATCCACAGGCCTGGGCAGGATTTCTCCTTCAAGCAGCAGTTGAATAACTTCACTAGAATTGGGGATCTGTCGGAGTTACCCCCTCCTTTCGTTCCTTAGACTAAAGAGAACAGGTCATTTCGACCTTGACCTCTCGTTCGTGCTTCCTATACACTGTAAACCTGTGGTAGAGACTAGCAAGTTCCCTTTTTAGTTAAGTTATATTACAAACCTAGTTGTAATATACTGCTAGACATTTTTAGGTCATAGTTCCCTTTAGCTAACCTAGACGTATTTTATTATAGACACTTTACTGTTAGCTTATCCAATTCACTTGCTGGTCTCCCTTATCACAAGACAGTGGCTTCTCACTAAATTCACGAGCGGCGACTGAAACGGTCGGATACGCAGGCCCCTTGCCTTCACGGCCAGGAACGTCGACCACAGGGCTGCGTATTAAGTTACGCTCCCATTTTTTGTCTGCCAACTTGACGATAGTTGGAAACTTTCTTTCTCTCTCTCTCTCTCCTTAGCCTACTACTCCTGGCTTCTGTTCAACACTCGGCATACTGTCCCTACTGGCTGCCTGCACGCCGTCCTTAACCTTTCCCGTACACTATGTTAGTAATTATTACAGGAGGTTACTAATATCGGACTCGACCGGCAAACACGCAACGCCTGCACTGGACCTGTGACATGCCCGAACAACCCCCGCTCTTCTCTCCTTCCCAACACGTCAAGTTGGTACCCCGGCAACGACCAACAACCAACATCGATGATCCTGGCAAAAACCAACACCAACATCACCTGCAACAATCAACAGCGATCATCCCGGCCACGACCAACATCAACTGCAACAATCAACAGCGATGATCCTGCCAACAACCAACATCAACTGCAACAATCAGCAGCGATCATCCTGCCAACATCAACTGCAACAATCAACAGCGATCATTCCGGCCACGACCAACATCAAACTTCGCATATTACGCAGTAATCAAGATAAGTGAAGCTTCCGCACCACATGACTACTCTAGGCAAACGTTTGTAAACAAAAACCAGTAATGTTGCACGTTCTGTGTACGCTTCAAGAGAGAAGTTGAATTTGCATTGTCTATAACTTCTAAACGGTAAGCAATGACAAAACAAATTAAATATTAAACAAATAATAATTAAACAAATAATAAAACAAATTGTAATACTAATGAACTCTTATTTTAAGGTACTTAATAATAATCATGCTTTGTAAATCTCCAAAAATTAATAAAAAAAAATTGAACCTTAAATTTATTCTTGTTATTATTATTTCCTTTCTAGCATTTATTTTTATGTTGTAAATAATCATTCTCTTTTTAAATTTCGTGTAGTTTGCGTCTTAATCAAGACAAGTGAAGCTTCGGCGCGTGACTTTTCGAGGCAAACGTATGTAAACAACGCCAGTAATGGCTGCCGTGCTGTAGCCGCGATGCGAATGAGTCCGAACTTTTATTGTTGATAACTCCAAAACAGTAGATTTTAGCAAAATGTCTTTATTTTCGAATTAAGCATGTGAATTTACACCTAAATGTAACTATTCGGAAGATTTTTATTAGAAACTGAGTGCGGGGCTTAAACTGTAAATTACCCTGGTTAATTTGCAGTAAGCACCAAAAGCCCAAATCCACCCCACCTCCGGTATTGAGAATGTACCGGTATAGCGAATGTGGCGTCTCAGTAGAATAGTACCCGGCTAAGAGAGTCAAGTGGGAAGCGAAGTACCAGCCAAACTCCGTCGTTGGAAGAGTAGAAATCTTTCATGTGGCGTGGCATTGGTCGCCGTACATAATAGTGTAGTGGACCGTGGCTGTTTTGTTGTTGAGTAAACATAGAAGAAACACATGTGGGGTTCTGCTAGCTGGTCCAACTACGTGAAAAGGTTGGACTATTAATTAAGTCCAAAGAATGCAAAGAAAACAAACAAAACACAAGACTGATAATATATGTATACAAATATATATATTAATAACAGGTTACATAGAAACAGTTACAGAAGGACAAAGTGTGTGTGTGTATTGTGCTTAGTGTGTTCCCACGCTATCCCTTATTAGCGCCTACATTTCGAGGTTGTAAGCTGAAAGCCTGGGGGGAAAAAAGAGATTTACCTCCAGGTGTCGATGCGAAGGCCTGAGGGAAAGAAGAGAAAGAGGCGAAGGGTCAGCGGCTATTTATAGCCAGGGAAGAGAGACCCTTGGTGAAAGGGTTAACGAACTGAAGGAGGAGTTAACTCCGACAATAGCGATCTTTTGGCATATAGGGCTACTGGAAAGAGATTTTCCCAATTATTTATTGAGCATTTGTGTGTTGAAGCACCTAATTGAATTGTTTTTTCAAATTAGCCGTTATATCTCTCGCATTGACCGTTACAGTGGGGATTATACGGGGTTTTCCGACTTACCACCACTCTGCGTTCTTGTAAGCTGTTCGGACATGAAGGAAGCTCCTCAGTCTGAATGTATGTATGCCGGTACTTTAAAGATTGCAAATAGGGAACAAAGGCATTGTATAATTGTTGTTGCAGTCATATCTGAACAGAGAAAAGCAAAAGGAAACCGTGAATATTTGTCTACAATATTTTTAGCATGTATCGGTTTTGTGTTCTGGATGGTAGCGAGCCTTTAAAGTTCAGACTGAGTCTTTCAAATGGCTGCGTTTTTTTTATTAGGACCCCAGGCGTAAGTCTGTAAAATTCGTTTTATCTCAGTACACGTTCGAGAGGAATTTATAACTTTCCTAACGTCCTCCACTGAATAAGGCAAATTCCTATTCCTTACCATGTGAACCATACATGTTATGCCTGGGTGACACAGTTCTTCGTATAGTGTCTGGAGTTCTTTTGTACTTGGAGTTATACTACATATTCTTGACAGAGCGTCTGGTGTCGGATTCTCCGTGCCGGGCCGGTAAGTAATATCGAACAAGAAACAAGAGAGTTTATGGAATAACGCGTTATCCCATCTACAACATTCTACGCGCGCGCGAGTTTCCTCCCTTTCTTCCACACTCGCGTGTGCGCGCGCGCGTTTCACACCCCTTCCTTCCTTCCTTCCTTCCTCTTTCAGTCAGACACAGTAGTAAACTGGTTTTTGTCGTCAGTCAAGCTACCTGCTATTCCTTCTTATGCAAATTAGATTTTTGAAATCTTCCCGCGAAATTTCTTTGACGTCACGGACAAAACTGTTGGTTCAAAAGTTAGTCGTGATCCAAACTCGGACCTAAGCAGAGACTCATTTGAGATCCACTGACCTTTGTTGGACTGTTTTTTGACTTCTGTTTTGTTTGCTTTTGGGGTTTTTTTGTACTGCTGTTACTGCTGCTCAGCGAAAATTTGATTTACTTGAAGATTTGGAAGAACCTTTTTTTTTGAAACACCGGACCTTTGGCTGATAAGTTATTGTTTTAGTTTCATTCTTTTTAATTTTTTCTATTTCTTTTGTTTGTTTTTAATTTGTTTTTGGGCTTCGGCAATCACCAATAATTAATTCTTCGACCTTTTTGGCTCGTCGCACAAATCCTTCTTCGAGACGATGCTTCTATCGGCCACCTTTTTCCTCGACCGAAGACTAATTCCTTAGAGGAACTTCCTCCTGTTTTCTATCAGAGAAACTTTGTACGTACGTCTTCGTCCTCACAACACGCTTTGGTTGACTAGAATTTTCTCGTCGAGTGACTAACGTCTTGTCTGTAATGATATTGCCTACTCCCTCGTTCCGGGTTCCCGGAACGTCAATCTGTTTTTTATACATACAAACACGCATGCGCTTTGATCAATAAATATACGCCATGACAGTCCCTTATTCATAACTACACACGTGTTCGAGTTATTATTTTTATCAATACACATCCATGCACTACACGGCATGACATGGTGGCAGCGGTGGGACTGGATAATACACTAAACAACCCTACGAAATCACAGCACCAAAATAAAACAGTGAGTACAAACTGCAGTACATTATTTTCTTTAATCGTCCACGCTACACAAATTCTCGCTCGCTCACGCCACGCCGAGCTCACAACATAACCGCTACTAACAGGCAGATATCATGGCTACAGTGTCAATACAAGTGCCTAGTCTTGACTGGGGGTCGCCAAACATCGCCGAATCGTTCAAACTATTTCGACAACGCATGGAGCTTTACTTCACCGTCAAGGCAACAAAACACGAAGATAAGGTGCCGCTAATTCTCCTCGCAGCCGGCGAAGAAGGCCTACGCCGATACAACAGTTGGTCGATGACAGACGACGACCGCAAGGACCCACAAAAATATTCTCTGCCTTCATGGAGCAGCTCGAACCGGCAACCAACCACCGCGTTTTTAGACTCGAACTCAGCAAATACCAACAAAAAGCCAACTGAAACAACGGACATCTTCGTTAACAGATGCCGACTGCTAGCAAAGAAATGCGACTTCACTGCCGACGAAGTAAACGAACGCCTCGTTGAGTTACTAATTGCCAGCACGCCCATACCCGAACTACAAAAGGAACTATTGAACAAACCAAAGGGTTACAAAATCGAAGAGGCTGTTAAATTAGCCCGTTCTCATGAAGCATCAGCAATATATGTCAACCAACTCCAGCAGCTACAGGGACCACCACAGATAGCCACAATAAACCGTGGTACACACCAACAGCAAGGAAGTGACAGAAAATACGGACAGGTTTGCAAAAATTGTGGACGCAACCACCGTTTTGGCAAAGAACACTGCCGTGCCAAGAACGACACATGCAACACATGTGGCAAAGTAGGCCACTGGGCTACAGTCTGCTTCTCAGGGAAACATAAGACCAAGAGACGACAAGGGAAAACCTGGTCTAATGGTCGTAACCAGTCGAGACACCCACAACAGGAGTTTGGCAGAAAAGTCGACAGCGTCGCCAAACAAAACGACCAAGTCATGACCGACATAGACACAGCGATGGAAAACCTCACCTTTAGCTACATCGAAACCAACAGTGGGAAATCATCAAATATGAAAGGCCCTCGAAATGAGGCATTTGTTGATTTAAGCATTAAGTTGGTGGACCACCCAGGCACTCATACTTTCAACCTGAAGGTAGATACAGGGGCACAAGCAAACACACTGCCTATCCGCATATTCCGCAAGATGTACCCCACCAGTATAGACCAAGCTGGAAATCCAATACCCGGATCACTCACCTCAACACAATGCCTACTAACAGCCTACAACAACACAAAGATAAACTGTTATGGCACCACAAATATTAGGTGCAAATACAAGAACTCTCCATGGATGGATACCCAATTCTACGTGGTTGATGTTCCAGGAGCAGCCATATTGGGCTTGCCAACATCAGTATCACTTAAAGTAGTGACAATGAACTGTGCTATATCAGTCCAGCAACAACCCATCAACAGTGTAGCTGACCTAATGCGCCTCTACCCTGACAGATTCGACCGTATTGGTGAATTTCGGAGGACTCACAAGCTTGCTGTTAACCCCAATGTGCCATGCCACATAGACCCACCGAGAAGGACACCTATAGCCATGCGCGAAAAAATCAAAGCTGAGCTTGACAAGATGGAATCACAAGGAGTCATTCGCCGTATTGAAGAACCTACAAACTGGGTAAGCTCTCTTACATATGTCACCAAACGTGACAACACAATAAGAGTTTGCCTAGACCCACGAGCACTAAACAAAGCTCTCATACGGCCATACCACCAAATTCCGACTGTCGAAGAGCTCAACCATCGATTTGCAGGAGCAAAATTCTTCTCAAAATTTGATGCTAAGTCTGGATACTGGTCCATAAAGCTCGATCGTGAAAGCCAGCCACTAACAACTTTCCAAACGCCATTTGGGAGGTACTGTTTTGAACGACTTCCATTTGGTCTGAGTGTCAGTCAGGATATTTACCAACTTGAGATGGACAGGATACTCGAGAAGTGCACTGGAGCCTGTGGTATAGCTGACGATATCACCATATATGGGTCAACAGAACATGAACACGACAAAAACTTAAAGCGCTTTTTATGGAGGTCGCTACTCAAGAGGGCCTTACCCTCAACTCAGAGAAATGCAAGATTAAACGCCGGGAAATCTCCTTCTTTGGAAACCTGTATACACATACCGGATTGAAACCTGACCCAACAAAAGTACGTGACCTACAGGAGATGTCAGAACCACGTAACAAAACAGAATTACAACAGTTTTTAGGTGTGATGACATACCTATCTCGCTTCATCAAGGACTTCAGCTCCAAAACTACTGTGTTGCGTGACCTGTTACACAAGGACTCTGATTTTCAATGGGAACCACATCACCAGAAAGTTTTCAAAGATCTAAAGAGCGAAGTATCTGAAACATCTCTGCTCCACTATTTTGACCCCAAACTCCAAATTTACATGCACTGTGATGCGAGTATACGGGGAATAGGTGCAGCTCTGCTACAACCAGATGCAGATGGCAATCTATCGCCTGTTACATATGCTAGCAAAAGCTTAACACAAACGGAACAAAGATACGCATGTATCGAGCGTGAGATACTGGCCATCGTATTTGGCACACAGAGATTCCACACATAACTTTATGGCCACAATTTCCAAGTCATCACCGACCATAAACCCCTTACAATGATTATCGACAAACCGCTCACCTCAGCCCCGGCACGCCTGCAACGGATGCTTATACAACTCCAGGGATACAACTTCAGGCTCACCTACAACAAGGGATCTGACAACATCTTGGCTGACGGACTATCACGCTTACCATCACCCGGTAATTCAGACCCTATCGAGCTTGATGTCCGGGTTGATACTGTCCGTTTCTCTAGTGATCGTATTGAACAACTGAGAAACTGCACAACAGCGGATCCTTTGCTCAACCAGCTGAGAGAGACCATCATCACTGGATGGCCAGAGACAATCAAGCAGCTGCCCACTGACATCAGAGTGTTCTGGGGTCTAAGAGACCAGCTCTCAATTGATGATGGTCTTATCCTCAAAGGACAACAAATCGTCATTCCCCAGACACTTCAAGAAGACATCCTAAAGCAGCTTCATACAGCTCACTTAGGACAGGAGAAAACAAAACTCCTCGCCAAGGACACGGTCTACTGGGTAAACATAAACAGAGACATCGAGCAGTTCACAAAGTCATGCAGCATCTGCCAACAGCATCAGCCATCCCAAATGCAAGAGCCCCTTATGCAACATGACATCCCAACAAAGCCATGGGACATAGTTGGCACAGACCTGTTTGATCTCCATGGAAGTCAATGGCTGATCATAGCCGACTATTACTCCAAGTACCCTGTAGTCAAACACCTACCTGCTCACTCACCAAGCAGTGTTATAGTAAACACCACACGCCAAGTCTTTGCAGAGTTTGGCATACCATCAAAGGTAGTCAGTGACAATGGACCACACTTCTCAAGTCACCTCTACCGTGAATTCGCCAAAGAATGGGGTTTCCACCATGAGACCACTTCACCTCGGAGACCGCAAGGAAATGGTTTCATAGAACGGCAGATAAGAACTGTCAAGAACATCCTCAAAAAAGCCAAGCAGTCGGGAACAATGCCTGAAATTGTGCTGCTGCACTGGCGCTGTACTCCAATTTCAAGCGTCATACCAAGTCCTGCACAACTACTCATGGGTAGACGAATCCAATCTCCACTGATTACCAAAATCAGAAACGATCACCGAGATCAGGATCAAATATATAGTGCAATTCAACAACGTCAAGAAAACCAAAAGAGGTACTTCGACCGACATGCACTCAAGGAGGAACTACCACCCCTGTACCGTGGCCAAAGGGTAAGGGTACAAAACCCTATGTCTGGAAGCTGGGACCCAGCGACTGTAGTATCCCAGGCAGATGGTCACCGCTCCTATCTCCTGGAGAATGTCAATGGGTATGTGCTGCGAAGAAACCGGCAACACATAAGAAGCATCCCAGTGGCGCCTGACTCACAACTGTCGCAAGACGTCTCGAAAACAGCCTCACAGAAATGTGTGACTTTTGTGGATCCACCTGTGTGTGCGATCCCAACCATGCCAAATAACCCTCAAAAGCGTACCCGTAGTGGTAGGATGGTGCGACCACCATCAAAGATGAACTTATGATGAACACATTCTCATAACCCCACAGCAAGCACTTAATGAGGCAGAATAATCCCCTGCTATGCTGTAGCTTTCCAGGTAGTCTACCCTGAACGAGCCTTTCTGTTTATTTATGTTTGTTTTATTTCAGAGACCCAGTATTACTATCCTTGTTTCGGAGAAAGGGGGATGTAATGATATTGCCTACTCCCTCGTTCCGGGTTCCCGGAACGTCAATCTGTTTTTTATACATACAAACACGCATGCGCTTTGATCAATAAATATACGCCATGACAGTCCCTTATTCATAACTACACACGTGTTCGAGTTATTATTTTTATGAATACACATCCATGCACTACACGGCATGACATTGTCCGAACCTGCCTTGCCACTAGCAAGGGAACAGAACTTTTCACATTCATCGAACTCTAATCTGCTTTGAAACAGTACCTAAAAAAGAAATATACATAACATTACACTCACACTAACAAAAAACTCGCAGTGAGTATTTTCTTTGTATGTATAATATTCCGTGTAGATTGACTTTTCTGGAACCTTCTTCTTCAAGAACTTTTCCCGCCTTAGCCATCTTATTTTCTATTTTTGGCGCGGGACATTTTCATTGATCTCTACCACGGGATGAGTTACTTGTTTTCCTGCATTTAATAAAAACTACTCTTGTTTGAATCCAGTCTTTTTCTTGTCATTCCGTGCAGGCTATCTCGTTAATGTTTTTTATTTTATGCACGTGTGGACTAACCACATTCCTTCGTTGTTCATTCACGGATTTTTTTTTTTACATTGCTTGTGGACTCGGTAGTCTAGTGTGGTGTCTGGCACAAGGCCACTTTGTAATAAACCAGCACTGCACCCTACCGGGCCTGCAACAAGTTCAATTTTCCACCTTGCTATTTTTTCATTTTTTATTTTACTGGTAGCCTTTGAGTTGAACGTGAACGAAACAGATTTTTGGTCTGTAACTAATCTGAAGTGACGTCCGATTAAATAGTGTCTCCACTTTCTTAACGCCTCAACTATGGCGTAGGCTTCTTTTTCAATCACCGTATGCCGTCGTTCAGATTTAGAGAGAGTCCTTCAAAAAAAAAAAAAAAGAAAGGAAAAAATGGCTTCAGGGCGGTCAGTTTGACTAAATGAAGCGGCAATTGCGCAGTCTGATGCATCAGTTTCAACTACTAGTGGGACAGAAGGATCTCTAGTTCTCATTACGGATTTTCCGATGTCTTGCTTTAGTTTTTTGAATGATTCTATTGCTGGGCGAGATAAGGGAAAAGATCATATGTGTATTAATGCTCGTATCTTGTCTGAGAAAGAGGCGATCCACTTTGGGCATGTTCGCCCACTATTCAGAGTTCGTCGCAGCGCACGTATGTTATCTGGGACTGGCAATCTGAGCAAAATTTTTAATCACTCTGGGTCCGGCGCCATTGACACGTTGCTTATTGTATAGCCCAAAAGATTGATTTTATATTGCCTAAACGAGTATTTGTCATTATTCAGTGTAAGGTTATATTTGCTTACGGCGTCCATGAGTCGTCGAAGGTTTTCATCGTGGTCTTTCTGATTGTGCCCACATATAGTTATATTATCCATGTAAGCAAAAGTACTTACCAGTTTTTATTCCATTATGATTTTGTCAATTATTCATTCAAAACTGGCTACTCCATTAGTTATCCCAAAAGGTATCCTTCTGAACTGATACAGCTGGCTAACTGCTTAAAATGCAGTATAAGGTCTGTCTTTTAGCTTAATGGCCACCTTATGATATGTACTTTTTAAATCTAACGTGCTAAAAATACTATATTTAGCTATTTCACATAGCATTTCGTCTATGCGTAGCAACGGAAAAGCGTCCAGAAGAGCGGACCAGTTAATTGAGCGTAATTGATAACCATCCTTTTTTTGTTTATCTGTGTCTGTTATTAATACTTGGGCCCTCCATAGTGACGTACTTGGCTCAATTATTCCTTCTTGAAGCATTCTTTTTTATTTCGCACCCTATAAATTGTTTGTCGCCATGAGAATAACGTCGGCTCTTAATAACTAATTGGCTTACAGTCCTTTGTCAGGTTTTCAAAAAGTGAGGGGTACAGAATGTTGGCTGCAGTCTGTCCGTAAATTTTTAATACAGGTTTATCTCTGCCGAATGAGATTTCTATGCTAGAGCGTTGCTGAAAAAATCGTGGCCCAGTATTACCTCACAACGAAGGTCTTTCATTATCGATAACTTAACAACAGCTTTATATGAGATGCCGTTATAATGTAGATCGGCCAAACAATATCCACTTATGTATGATGGCAAAGCTGCGTTCATATGACGCAGTGTGCCCGATCATCACTTCCACCTTTTCATAAACAACCTTGGATATGCCTGCCGGTAGAGAAAGGTCACGACCCTTGTGTGCTAAAAATAGCAATGACCTCCTTTCAAACTGATAAAAAAACACAAAACTCAATTTTGCCCACTAAACAAAAATAAAAGACCTTTAATTTCGAACCGAAATTAATTTAAATACAGTCAACAAACACCGAACACACTTTTGACTTTAATTAATACGGCCTGAAATTAATTATATTCATTTACCTCTTCTTTTATAAGAGACAGATTAGCCCGAAAATGAAGTACTGTTGCCATATTTGTGCAGGAGCTGCTCAGACTTCACTTTCCAGTCATGAGAGAGTTCAAAAGTGTCTCTGAGTCTTTGTGGGAGAAGAATTATTTTCCACAGTCCAACCTCTCTCTCTCACAGGTGGGATGTGGCAAGCCTCTCACTGCTCTATCGCTACTTCCATGGAAAGTGATCAGATGAACTACATTCCTTGGCTCCGCCAGATCTAACTTTCACGGCTAGGGCTCGCCATGCCACTTACATAGTAGTAAACCACCCATATTCCTTCCATATTCCATTGGCAAGAATTAAATTCCACTCAAACAGCTTCTTCCTGTGAACCACTCCACTATGGATCAGATTCTCTAGAGCATGTTTCTCTGATCAAAACAATCTTAACCTGTTCAAGTCTAGAGTTAACTGTTATTTTCTCCACCTATCTGTATAAACTACTACTTATCATAACCCTCTACCTCAACTGTAACCTGGGCCTTGTACAGGGTGAATCTTTCCGTAAGAAAAGAAGACTATAAAGATGCTGACAGCAATTTTTCTTTGGCATTGCCATTTTGGATTTGATCTGATATGTGGCAGTACAGACTAAGCAAAATGACACTCTCAAAACCTATTATTTTTTCTAATCATTTCCCCCACCAGCAGGGAGATAATGCCACAAAGATGCAAGAGGTTATAAGGAGTGAAGGAGAATGAGAGGACATTAGTGAAGAGAAAGAACAATAAAAGAACAAGTATCAGGAAGAGAGAAGATGGTAATAATGCCACTAAGACTCAAGGGGTTACTTGGGAATAAAAGAGAATGAGAAGAATCGAATGAAGTGAAAGAACAATAAAAGAATGTGATTCAGGAAGACAGAAGATGGTGATAATGTGTTATGGTAATTTACCCAAGCATACATGGACTCTCCCAG